TCTCTCTCTCTGTGTGTGTGTTTGTGTCTCTCGCTCTCTCTCTCTCTCGCCCTGACATGCAGGAATTTGAGCATGAATTATACATAGCAACACAGCAGCCTTCAAGCGGGCCCTGCTCTCAAACCAATAATGGGCAGCATGACAACAGCATAATGAAGTGAGCCACTTGACCCCCACCGAGCCGGGGAGCCGTCACACTCGGCATTTGCATCTCAATGATGCCAGGATTAATGGTGGCACTGCTCGGAGCGGCAGACATTAAAAAATGAATCAACTATTTTTCACAGGCAACGAGAAGTTCAGAGAAGAATAAAGTTTGTGTGGCAGGAATTTAGAGTCTGACTCGGGGCGTAAATGCAATAAAGCCTGTTTTATGCCACAGTTATTTCCTCCTGTCTCACTTCACTGATTCACTCAGTTCTGATTTATTACCTGGATAGTGCAATCTGGCATATATTTGCATTACTTAAATTTCAGTTGCATATTAACTTTAACTGCTTTTCATGCTCAGAAAAATGCCACAAAAAGGATGACAGAAAGATCACCAATATGTTTTTAATATGAAAACTTTCTCAAACTTTAAAGTCGAGATGAAATGAAAATGACAAAACATATTTTACACCTAAAAAGTATGCCAAACTAAATTTCTTTGAATTCTTCAGTTCTGCCAGCTCCCTCCCTCTCAGCAAATTTAAAAAAATGCATCATAGACCTGCAAAGAACAGTGACTTTAGGGGGCGTGGCCTTGAGACTGACCAGAGTGACTGGCAGACTGACCACAGCAGCGTAGCAGAAACAGCGAGCTGCTATTAAGAGCTAATGAGCAGCGTGTCCGCGCGGGAAACACAGAGAATCGGCTGGAGATTTTATAGTCACTCGAAGCTAGCGGCTGTGTTGTAGCTGAGCTAGCGGCTCAGAGAGGCTAACTCTCCGGTATGTGTGTGTGTCTGTGGGGGGGACTGTCAGTGCGAGGAATCAAGGTAGGTAGGAGGCAAAGGTTGCACAACCTTTTGGTTCCTCTGATTGAAGAAAAACTCAACTGTTCGGAGACACCAGTGGGACGTTAAGTTACAGAGCACAACCAAGATCATCATCATAAACTTGAGACTTGAGAGAAACAGTTGATGGTCCAAACCATGCATTTGAAGTCGAGATACCCCAACTTTTAGTCCTTGGTGTGGAAAAACACCAAAAACACAATACAATTCCCATAATGCAACTATCTCTTCATCAGACCCCTTTTGCCTAGTTAATGCTCACTTCTTCAAAACACCATACCCACTGCAGTTTCTAACGCATGCTCCCCATTACAAATGTACTCTCCAAGACACACAGAGATAACCCTGCTGACATCACTGTGACATCATTGCTTTTTTCAGACTTCACAAAGCTCCTCCAGAGCCACAGCGGACCATGTACAACTGTTCTCACGGGTTGAGTTGTCCTTAACATGACCAGCAAACTGATTTGGATGTGTGAAAATGGGTGGAATGCCCTTTTAAACAAACATTTTCTTTACAAACGTACACCTCATTCCCAGTTTACCACTGGCAGTGGCTGATAAGCACAGAGTTGACTCTGTCTCAGAGTTCACGGAGGGTGTAAAGAGCAAGACAGGCCTGGTCTCCTAGCAACATCCGGTGAGGGATTCCAGTAATGAGACAAGAGGACAGCATCCTCTTACTGTGCACTGAACCAGATGCAACTAATACCTCAATTCAATGTCTTTCAGGGCACAGACGGGGAGGGACGCAGGAGCCCTGACTAGCACATGGAAGCTTATGGTGGGCCGATGTTTGTCAGCAGTGCTGAGTTAGGACCCAGTAAGGATCTTTCAAAGCTACAGGGACATATTTCTTTGTTCTTTTCTGTTTCTGTCAATGAAATGCTAAAATAAAATGGAACCACTGATATCAGAAGTTAACATACATTTCATCCTCATAATAACCCCTTACCCTGAAAAACAGCTGAGCAGGTATTTGCGCATTATGGTGCTCATATGACAAACGTTATATGAGCTGAATTTTTCGCTGAATAACCTCATTCGGCGGTAAGGCTCACTAATCCAGCATGTGGGAGTGACAGAGTTGTATTATAAAGAAGGGCTTTACCTACGGAGTCTATCTCTAGCAGCCGCTGGAGGTCGCTGATGCTGCGGATCTCGCTGCGGGAGAGGCGCTCCAGCAGCTCCCGGGGGAGAGGGGACTCCTGTGGGAGGAAAGTCAGTCGATGAGCCGCTTTATTGGGTATGGAGATACAAAGCTGCGCCTGTTGGTGCGTAAAGAGCGCAAAATCATGCAATAATCACTAATTTTCAAACTTAGTACCTCAGTGTGGGCAAACTTGCAAACATATATAGTTTTAATGGACAATACTCGTGCCTATCTGCGCCACAATAGTTATTTGTGCGTAATTACGCAGAGCGAATTCACCTGTTGCATGTGCCGCGGTTATTTTATATTTCTGTATGAGTATATTTCCGTGCGCCTTACCTCAGCAGCGGTGCGTAACAGGCAGAGGCAACCGGCGAGGAGGTGGTACAGCGCAGCTCTCATCTCCTCTCAGATCCGCTGCATAGGCACCAGGATGAGGCGAAGGTCCACTGCAGGAGCCGGGTTCTCGCTCCCTGTTCTCGGGAGCCCAGAAACATCCCTCGGGAGAACTGGCCACCCCCACGACCTCAATGAAAGAGCGAGCCAGAGACCCTAAAACTTGAGGTGATGTTTAAACTCCGGAATGAACAGCGATTAAATGATAGAGCCGAGATTGTTCTGCTCCTGCATTCGGCGTATGCCACTGTAGTTAAGAGAGGAGCTGATTTCCAAAATAATGTTAAAACGAACGCAAAGCACAAGTGTAAGTCCGAGTTGCAGGAGGACGCTCACAGTTGCACAGCCTTTTGTCCAGTAGATTGAAGCATCAAACAATCAAACCTAACTGAGGTCAAGTTGATGTTCAGCAGCTCATCAAAAGAACAGGTGTCCAAAGGAAAAAAAACCTCTCTTTTACATTCACACATCCGGCCATATCCATCACTTTGTCCTCAGTGTAATCCCTTCAAAATCACACATTTGTGCGTCTTGCAGCGGTGGAGCAGCTTGGCACGTTATATAGGCAAATCATTTCAATTGGTTAAATCTTTTTAAATTGAAACTTCCAGAAATAACCAGTTCTGTCCTGAAGCCGCGGAGGAAAGGGCAAACGGCATCAACGAAACCAGAAAAGAAACTCTCCACTCTGCAGCTCAGAGGAGTTTGATGTCAGTTCACGTCAGTCGTGTGAACTCCGGGGTGAATGAAGTCGAGATGCTTTCAGTCACAGGATATAGCCGTGCGCGTCCCCGTGGCACTTAACTGCGAGCGCGCCCTACATAATAGCCTGTAGGCACATTGTAGGAGACTCGTTTGTTTCTGAATACCACAACTAACTGCTCAATTTTATCACATATTACAACTTCACACAACTTTTCACTCAACTTTTTCCGAGCAAAATACTGGAAGGAAGTGGGGAAATGTTTTATGATCCTCAGATACATTTACATATGTCAGTTTGTACTTCACCTTTGATTTTCATGATAAATAAAACAATTTTTAGGATAGGGTTTTGGAGTTTATTATACTGATGATGATGAGGATGATGAGGATGAGGATAAACTGTAATCTTGTACACCACTAAGGACTGAGTCAATGTCTGATAATTAACTGTCTGTATAGAGGCTAATAAAGAACCTATACTAATTTGTTAATTATTTGCTCTGATAGTCAGCAGACCCACTTCTCCCCGAAATTATCCTCCTTAACAACTAACTCTATAAGTGTGTGTGTGTGCGTGTCTTTGTGGGAGAGGGGGGCAGGTTACTGTGTCAGTGTTTAATTGCTGTGTAATAAAGCTCATTAATGAGTGTCCAGACCAGAGACTGGCTGCCCTGAGAGAAAATAAACGAGTTTAGGTTTGTCCAAACAAGAGCCTTATTTGACCCTTAGCTGACATTGATCTCTTGTGGTTGTCGTGCAGCAAAAGTGTAAGTAGCGTGACAATTTGTACAACCCCAAAACCTCACCACACCACTGTTCACACACAGTACTGTCTGTTCTTTTAACCACAAAGACAGAAATGACAAACAACCTGAAATCGACTAAAAGTGCACTGATAGATGATCGATCTCAAGGAAAGTTTCAAGAACACTGAAAGTTCATTCTCAAACATCCATTTCTACACCACCAGTGTTTAAGGGGGGTGGAAGTCAGTACACATCAGGGGAAAGGCAGGACAGACCTTAGATAGATCACCAGTCAGTGAGAGTTCATCTACTTACTGAAATGAAGGGAAATCAATGGCCACCTTGAATCTCAATCTAAAATAGGAAATAGGATAGTTATAGTTCGCAGTAGTGTTAAATATTTGTAATCTTTAATTAATGAGCATAAACATGTAACAGCACTAAATAGGACTATGAACTGAGTCTGACTAACTGACTAAGCGAGAGTCTGTGACATTCAAAACAGTTGACATTTATCCGTTTCTTTGAGTTAGTGAAGGACATTGTTGACGGAATGTAAAAGACTTTCCAAAGCTAAAGCTTCATAAAGCAGCACTGGAATCTGGAAATCCAGCCTCAAGCATTCAAACATGCACGTACACATTCACTCTAACTTTCTCATGTACTCACACATGCTCACCAATTTACCCAATATCCTTCATCAGTCACACAACACACACACACAGTCATTAAAAAATAAATGTAAAAGACCAAGAGAGGAGAAAAAAATAGTGAAAGAAAGATGAAAAACTGAAAGAGAGAAGAGATAAAAAGCTTGTTGATACTAAGATGAAGCCTATTTGGATGAAAGAAAACAGTGGAGTGACTGTGAGTATGTGTGTGTGTTGGACCAAACACTCCACCAATTAAAGCCCATTTAGCCTGACAGAGGCTAATACCATCACAACAGAAATCCACCTCTGTCTCTCTCCCTCCATCTCCCCCTGAATGGCTTCAGTGCACCTGACACACACACACACACACACAGACAAAGCACCGGAATGATGGAGGGGAAATGGGTCAGAACCGATTCGGATCTTGAATGGCGACACACTCGTGCCTTGATGCTGTCACTTCCTCCTGGCAGCAGCTCTCATGCGTCCCACTTGTTCTGTTCCGTCTTCTTCTTTCTTCCTTTTTTTCCTCTTCCATTGTAGCTGTCTGTCTTTCTCTGAGTCAGTCAAGCTCCCTGCTGTCAAACTTTCAACTGTGACTGTTACTGTTGTAGAGACTACACTAGCTAGCTGGCGCTGTCTGAAACCCTGTCCTTTTTGAGAGCTTCACTGGGGGGTGCCAATGAATGGGATGTGGCTTTAAAAGTTTTCTTTATGTTAAATATGTTTTGTGTATATGTGTTCTTTTCATTTATCAGATATAGTCATCTTTAGATTAGATTTTTGCTATTATAACACTGCAAACTTAAATATTGCAATAATTTCATGGTTCTGTAAAGTAATGTTTCTGCAATTATTATTATTGTGATCTAAAAACCCCTGGAGCGAGAGAAAGAAAACAAGCAATAACTACAAATGTGTTGAATTATGTATACTTACATGCCCATATATGCACAAATATTTATATGTACAAGCCTACATTAATACGTTCATAGTGGTATGCCAAAAAACACTTAACAAGTACAAAAACTGCAGGCAACATTTGAACACACACAATGTCTCTCTGCTGCTTTTATCATTCTGCTAAGCTCTTCCCACCAAACCCACAAGTTGAACCCGAGCACCCATAGGCAACTGCCCAGGAAAAGCTCATTCCTCATAGTGCTCGCTCTCCACGAGTGTCGCCAAGACCCTGGTCCCCTCCCCTCTCGCCACGACACCCTGTCTGACCCAGTCTAACAGCGGGGTGAGAGGCTAGTATGCCTCTTGATATGAGTGCCATGGCATCAAGCACAATGAGTCCGCAACCTCGGTATGGAGCCGGGGTGTGATCACACACGTGTTTTGTAGTATATGCTGTTGTTGGCCAAGGAGTGATGGTTGATTTTGTTTGCAAAGCTCCTCGTGAAGCCGCGTGGCGGGAAGATATTGAGCCCGACTAAGAGAGAGCATGCGCAGGACAGAGGGGCTGCCAGTGTGTGCACTGCGTTAGAGACTCTTCCTGGCTCTGATTGGTTGTTTTTATTCAGCCACAGTGGATTCTTGCAAATGCCAAAAGCACTAGGAGCAACCAGAGGAACATGATTTCTTTTTTTTAAAGATTATCTGTCTCAGGTACTACTCTCAGGATATAGTGAAAGTTTCTGCAAATATGGCAAAAAAAAGTTACCTTTTTTCAAAGTTACCTACTGCAGCTTTAAGAGAAATGTAAAGCTATATAAACATTCTGCAGAGAAACGTCTTTCAAACGTTTCTAAACACTCCATGCCATCAAGCTAGATATAGTGCTGTCCTTAAGTTCCTCCTCGTGTTAAAAAGTGTTCTTCCAAAAGGGCAGCACATTGAATTAACTTTTTTTACACAGTCTCTTTCTTTTTTTTCTCCCCACATAACTTTCCAAGTGGAGTAGATATTTTATAGAGTTTATTTATAACAAGCCAGGGAAAAGCTTTTATCACTTTATTTCTTGTATAACTTTTCCAGTTCTTTTCCTAGAAGCAGACTGATGTAAATGCATTATGCACTATACTGAGTGACCTTGCTCAGGAGCACTTCAGCAGTGTTTGGTACACTCAATACAAACAGCCCTCCCACCCAAACTGCTGTCCCGTGGGAAAGGAGAATATGAAAATATTAGAGTCAGATTTGGGGAGGAGGGTGTTGGAGATATGAGCACCAACAAAAAAAGAGTGAGTGTTTAAGAGGCAGAGAGGCTGTAAAAGTTAATCCAGCAGGGGGATAAAACTTTTACAAGCAGGGTGGGGGTTAAGGGCTATCCCCAAATTTATTCACAAAACCAAGCACATGTTGGAAAAAAACATTTATACACATTTTTCCTCTCTTTGTCTCTGCAATCCATCCAACATTAATTATTAAAACCTTTTCCAAAAAAAGTCAGAATGGATTTCACCGTTAAACCAAGAGCTAAGTCCACTATTGGACACCGGCCAAAACCTATTGTGCTACGCATGAATGTTTGGTCAACAGCCAACTGGAGACTTATCCTGGATTACCATCTCAAATATGCCGGCATTTACCTACATGTAATGTTACCACCCCACCACCCCCACCCACAGTCCCACCCGTCTGTTCATCACAGGCCACAAGGCTCTGAGAGAATGCTTTATTTAGGTCTGTTTGGGAAAAAGTGAAAACACAGGGCCCTTGTACTGTGTGAACTCGTAGTCATGAAGATAGAAAGCCAGCTTAACTGGAAGGGGCATACAGTAAGTGCTGGACCTCCCACCAATCTGAATCAGATTTACTCTAAAGACTAAACTATAAGCACTCAGACAGCACATACCTGCACAAGTGGTGCACAAATTTCAAATTGTGTTAGTTAAATAAAATATATTTATATTTAAAAGGTATTAAATATCCAGAAATGTTTAATATTGCATCTGGACCTTCAGTGAAACACACATGGTGATATAAAATCATGGGATACAGTCTTGTTTGTGCAGTATAATAAAAAAATCTAAACTGTGTTTCAGAATGGAACAGTATATGTGAGTGGGTTTAGTAGGTTTAGTGATTGAAATCAAATTTGATTAAATTTCTAAAATGTGTACATGGCTTAGTGAATACAGTGAGGATATGGAGACTGTTGGTCTTACAGGAGAGGATGAAGGCTGAGGATAAGGGTTAAATTAATAAATTAGATCTCAGATCACATTTTTTGGAAATGGAAACCAAGTTTTTGCCAACTGAAATCCAAGCGCACACCTCCTACTGTGCTTACGCTGCTAGCTATACCTGCTAATGGTCAAGTGCAGTTTTATATGATGGGTGGGGTTGGTTAGTCATCAAAATTATTTTTTACAGGAAGATCAAAAAAAGGGATTTTGTCATAAAAATATAGATTTTCTCTTTTTTTGACACATATACAGCACACATTTGACACAGGGACACAGGATTAGAACTTGGAAAATGTATTTGTCATTTTACTGTTGAGAAATAATTCCCAAATCTCCTCTTGGATCAGGATCCAAGCGCAGCATTTCACAAAATATCCTAAAATATCCAGGGTCAAACACAATCTCCGTAGTGGAGGTAATCAAGGCTTCCAACCACCCACATAGGTAAAACAATTGCTGCTTTCATACACATTTTCACACATTATTTACTTCTATCCACACCCCAGCACGTGAT